TGGAGAATGGTGCTGGAGGCGAGATACAAGTCACCCAGTTGTGCACACAGAAACTATAAGCTCCGTCCTAGGGTGCCATCTTCCCACTCTGAGCAACTCAAGAAAAGTACAAGTCGACGGTTCAGACGCTTTGGAGCCTGCGCGCCATTCGCGGTGCCCATCCGCCCCCTGGAGTCTATCTGTGGTACTGCATCTCCCGCTCCTCCACCCCCCAGCAAGAGCCAGCTTCCAGAAAGCTCCCTGCGCATTCCACCGCATTCTTTGCACTTGAGTCATGCAGGTTTGCAGCCAGCCCCAGAGGGGGTGTGGGCTAAGCAGAGTCCTATAAATACTGGCACCCTCACCACGGTGCTCATTACGCAGCCTCACCGCGAGGAGGAGAGCACAGAAGCCCGGTGCTAGGGACCGGTGAGATGTACTTCCCGATCTTTCCTATCCTTGTGCAGAGCCTACACCAGACAGAAGGGCGGGCGGGAGGTGGCAGCCGTTCGGGGATAAGATGGTAGAAAGGCTCTTTGATCTGGGTTTAAGAGAGCCTAAGGTGACCCCAGGAACGGAGGTGGCCAGAGCCCCGTCACAATGCAGCTGATTCAGGTGCTGAACTGCTGAGCCCTGGGATGCCGGGTCAGCACACAGACGGAAACTCAGCTATCCTTGGGCTCCCGAACTCCCACCATAATTCCGTCAGATAAGTAAGGCAGGTGTAATGAATACCCTTGTACAAAAATGGGGAAACTGAGGCTTGGAGAAAGGACATGGATTGCCCCAGTCCATACAGCTAGCGAGCGGTGGTTCTGGGATCAGTTTGTAGACCCACCGGCCCCATCTCTGTGAAGGTGCTGATCTCCGCTATATTGTTGGCTTGCAGGTATGACTCATCTTGTTTTCTGTAAATTCTGCACCTCTCTGGATAATGTGTTTATAAGTATGTTGTTTAGAGTTAATACATATGGACAGCCACCTGCTTCTCAATGCATCCAAGGTGCAGTAGAGAAAAGGGATACAACTTGATCCCTCAGACCTCAGATGTCTAATAGAAAAACAACAGTCTCATTTTAGTGATAATTATCAAAGGCCTAGGGGTTTAGGACTTTCTATATGTTATTATTGTCGGAGTTTATAGGACTGGCTGGTAGGTTTGAACCTCCAACCTCGAGGTTAGCAGCCCAGTGCTTATTCTACAGTGCCACACTTAATATTAAGCAGCAAATAAGCATCAGAATTGGTACTAGAACCGAAGCCTTCTTGACCTTCCAGAATTTAGGGACTTAATGAACTGCAAGGTGAATGTGAACCACAAGGTCGGCAGTTCAAACCTCACGGCTGCTCCTTGGAAACCCTATACAAGGTCTCTATGAGTTGGAACTGCCTTGATGGTACTTAACAATAGCGATAAGAATAAGCAAAGAAGCTGATTTTTTTTATAAGGAAATTTTTTAAATTCCTTTAAATTTAATTTAGAAGGGTCTTAATGATGTAAAAAAAAATACTACAGAAGGAGACACACAAGAGTATGAATTATAATAGGGAATTAGAAATAACTTAGACATCCACATTTATGGGAATGGTCAAGTAAAGTAGGGGAATTCAGAAAATGGAATAGTAACCATAAACATGTTGTTATTGTTGTTGTGTGCTGTCGAGTTCATTCCAATTCATAAACATCCTGGTGGGTTTGAACTGCAGACCTCTCATTACCAGTCCAGTGCTTATCCTACAGTGCCACACCAGAGCTCAACCTAGAACATAGGTTTTTTAAAAAGACATTTGAAGATGATGGGTGTATGAAAATGCATAGAAAATAAAAGGAAGTATTCATTGTTACCTGTAAGTAGTGTGGCTTACGGATGACTCATTTTTATTTGGGGGTTTGCTTTGTTATAGTTAGGGAGACAGTAAGATAGACAGGCACCCGCAGCTTGCTAGTTATACCTCCTCCTCACTTTAAGGTCTCTGTGCCCTCCCCACTGGCCCATCTGCTCTTTAAATGATCTCTGGGGTGCTGCCTGACTTTTGGAGGTGGTCCCTGGGAGCATTATGGGGAACTGGTAAGTTCAATGCTCTAGGGGGGCATGCGTGGAAGAAAGCTGTTCTCAAAGGTAACCTTGTTACCTTTCATAATCTCCTTGTCTTCCCCTTCACTGCACCATTGCCCACAGGGATGCTAATGGAGGGAGCCAGACTGAGAGGTTTATGCTTCCCTGGGTGGAAGGAGGCTGTGCAGTAGTGATGGGGAAAGAAAGACCTCAGTGTGGCTCCTCCAGTCACAGCAGGTGGTAGGCCCAGGGGCTTGGAGGGGACAGGGGACACCAGTCTGTAGAAAGGGAGAACAGTTGAATTGTGCAGCCATTTCTCTAGGGCTGCCCTTGGACCAGTGTCAGTATCATCTGCAAACTCATTAGACAAGAAGAGTACGGAGCTGTGCCACAGACCCACTGAATCGAAATCAGCATTTTAACAAGGTCCCCACGTGATTTGTAGGCACTTGAAACTTTGAGAAGCTCTTAACAGATCATTGGGGAGTGCCCCGCAGTTTCTCTAAGACAAAGCCACACAGTACAGAGACAGCCTGTCTACAGTAACTGTTTTTGGTTCCTCTGCTCCTCTACAGAGGTGTTACCCCTCTGTTTATAGCCAATGAACAGAATTGTCCTAGATCAAATATTCAGCTCGTTATACTTTACTATGATTATATAAGACCATTGTGTTTATAAAACATACTCCCATCTCTGAAGTATATGTTATGCCCATTTTACAGATGAAGAAAACTGCCCCCAGAAGTTTAAGTGACTCTTTGTCAAGGAAAGAACCCTGGATTGGCAGCTAGGAGGGATGACGTGTCATCCTGGGGTTGCCATAAGCTTACTATGGGCCTTCTGGAGCCCTGTTCTGTCTGGATTTCAACCTTCCCTGAAAGGCAAAGGGGTTGAGTGGGAATGATTCCTTTTCCAGCTCTGAGCTTAATGGCTAACTAAGGTTCCCAGGCTCCTGGTGGGAAACCCTGTACAAACAGCTGAGTCTCTGGAGTCCTCATCTAGTACTCTTAGCTTTGACTAGTTCTACGTCCCCTTTCTGGAGGGTCCCAGCCCCTCTCTCTGGTCAGAACCTTCTTCAGAGGATCTTGTGTGGATTTCTTAGGAGTTGTTGCTGTCAGAGTTGTCTCCCAGAGAGGTGTGTGTCTTGCTCGCTTTATCTCTCTGGCGTGACAAAGACTCTGTCCCTGCTTGAGGCATTTCAGGCCTCAGTGAGCAGCATGGGGCCTCCCTGTCTCCAGCTGCCCACCCACCCTGTCTTTGGAGAAGTTGGTGTACCCACTCTCTTCTCCCCGCTCCAGCTCTTTCTCCTATCTGTGGGTTTGCTGTGAGAACCACAGTTCAGGAACCTTACTGAGAGGCTTTCTTTATGACTGTTCTACCAAGTGTATAAATGCTCCTGATGATAGGAAAGTGGTTTGTTGATGTGAGCAATTGCAGGAAACAGAAGGGGGACCTTTCTTTCCCCTTTTTGTTATGGGAAATGGGCCTGGTTAGATAAGCAGTGGAGCATGGGAAGGAGAAAGTTCTGCTTTGAGCAACATCTTGCGTCCATTGTGTAAGACTTGGGTTGTGGCTCAGATCCCTTGGCTCAGGGCAGCTGGCAGCATGGTGGCAGGAGCACTGTGCCGGGCACACGGGTCTGTGGGTAGTGGCAAAGGGCATTTACAAAGGTACCTGGCAACACAAAAGCACAAGCCCTTCAAAAGGAAGTGTTGGGGTCCAAGTCTGCTCCATGGAGTCTCTGCTGACTTTTGACTTTGTGGTTCCCTTCCTTCACTCTGCCCTCTCCTTGCTGTATTCTTTATTTATACTCCCAAATCCATATGCAGCCTGGCTCAATTCCCAAATGGGTTTAATATTCTGTGCCAACACAAAGGGTTGGCTTGTTTCTGCCTCTGGACAAGAAATTTTAGGTGGCAAGGAGATTGTGTGTTGGGGGGGTGGGGGGAGAGAGTAATGCTGTGATGGATTAGTAATGTCTGCTGAGGTGAGGATGCCTGTGCAGGATTTATCCGAGTTTGGGATGTAGCCCCACTTTAGAAGGGAAGCAAGAACAGGATGGATGGATGAGTGAGTATGGGGTGGTGTTTTCAGTGTTATATAGGAGTAGGTATCATCAGATAGACACACTTTCTATACAAGGAGGCCAAGATACATAAAGCTCTTATGCTGTGCTTAGCCATATACAGAGCTATTATCTGGGAAGGAGGCGGGTTTGGGATTGAGCCCAGGTCCCTTGACTCCCAGGTCTTGTTTCTTTTACATTATGCTGCTGTCTTGTGTAGTTCATGCCTTGTATTTACTGCCTGAACTTTCTTTCTTTCTTATGCTTCACCCTATTCATGGATATTTTGTAGCAAAGGTGAACATCCATATATAAACATACTCTGTTAAACCTTTATACATTTGTGGATTTACTCCTAGTTTCCCTCCCACACATACATATTCAGCCTGTGTGCCTATCCTTGTATGTACTCGTAGATCACCATTTTGCAGGATTGTGTGTTTAACAGTGTTTACCTCTGTTGCCTTTAACTCTTACACCTCTCACTGAGTCTTCCCCTGCCCCCATCATTTTTTTTACCCACTTCCCTCTTGTTGTGTATCGTCTTCCCCTTCACCCAAGTTAACACATGTCTATTCCCAACCTCCCACCTCTGGTAACCATCAAAGAATGTTTCTTTTAGTGTGAAAACCTTTTCTTGACTTTGTACAATAATGGTCTAGTACAATATTTGTCTTTCTTTTGAGGCTTCCAATGAAAAGTCTAGTCATTTCTACCAATTTTCCCCAGAGATGAAAATACAGTGACAACAGCCACTTCCGAGCTCTGTATTCCTTGGAAGCTACTGCAGGCAGCAGGCTGAGCAGGAAGCTGGAAAGCTGCTTAGTCGGTTACCATGACAATTTTCTGTCCTCTACACACAGGGACGTGCTAGGATTTCAGAAGAAGAGGAAAGCAAGATGAAGACTCTTCTTCCTCTGCTGCTTCTGGGGCTGCTGTTGAGTGGGGAGAAAGGACAGGTCTTGGGAGAAGAGCCCATCTCAGCCAATGAGCTCCAGGGTAAGTAGACGTTGGGTGGTACCCCTCAGCAATATAGGAAGGCTCGCTCCTTTTAGTACAATGCCTGGCCCAGAGCTGGTTCTCTGGCTGAGCAAGGTGATAATTGTCTGTGTGAATGACAATTTGTATCTTGTGTGTTGTTAAGTGCTGTCGAGTCACTTCTGGCCCATAGTGATTCTATATCGGGTTTCCAAGGAGCAACTAGTGAGTCTGAACCACCAACCCTGTGGTTCAAACTGACCTTGTGGTACGGTTCTTTATCCCCCAGCACCACACCGAACTCCATTTGTATCTTATGTGAGTCAGATTTCCTCTGCTTGGGTCTCTCCCTGGCTTAAGATGCTGTGGCCTCTTGACATTTCCCAGCAAGGCCAACCCCTTCTGGCTGCTGCATTTCATTCAGCTCCAGTTCCTTCAGCTGGCTACATCTTCCTTTACCTTTAAAACCCAGCTCCCACTCCTGCCTCATGCAGCTGTCTCTGAACCCTCTCTGAACCCTTTGAATCTTTAATGATCACCCCTTTCTATTTTACCCTAGTGCGTACACCTTGTTCAGTCCTCCACCTTCCCATTCACATAACTATGTAGTCATGCTTCATAGCTTCAGCTCACAACGGGCAGGAAAGGGAATATGCAGTATCCTATGAAGACTAGTCATCCTTCAGAACTCAGCTTGATGGTGTCCTATTACAGAGAGGTCTTTTCGTGAAACCCATCCTTTCTTCCCTCCACCCTCCTCCTAATAGCTGATCCGTTCTTCTGAGTTAGTGGTTAAAATATAGGGAGTCTCCATGAGTCAGAATGAACTCGGTGACCGTTGGTCAGGTTTAATTTTAGTGGTTAAAAGCCCATAGTTTGAGATCAGGCCTAGGTCTGAGTCCTGGCCCCACCACATCCTAGCCATATAAGGGGATACAATCTCCTTACACTTCCTTTTCACCATTTTTGAAATGGGCGTGATGATGGGAGTACTAAAGACAATACATGTGACATGTCAGCTCTGTGCTTAGCACAGCATACATACTAGATGAATGTGGACTGTGACTCCTTGGTCCTTGGATTACACATCTCTCTTTGCAGTTGTCACAAGAAGAGGATGTGTCTTGAGCAGTCTCCTTGAGGAAAGATCCTGCTAATTCATCTTTCTATCCCCACCAGCTAGCACAGTGCCTTGGAACAAACAAATACAAATGCCTGTTTAAGCTAAATTCTGGAAAGATCTGTATCCAACAGAACAATATGCGTTAATGCTGTAAAGGTTGCACTCTATTTCTTTTCTTCTTCTGACATTTCTTCTGTGACCCTACTTGTTCTGAAGAGCTACAGAACAGTGTTTGGGCATAGTGCTGCTGTCCCTCCCCTGGGGGCACTGGACCCCCTTGGTTTGCTTTTCTGAGCCTCAGGCTCATGCTGTGATGGGAAGCTCATAGGCAGGGTTGCTTGCCAGGGGTTTCAGCCTGGACAGCCCCTTCCTGTTCATTCTAGCTGCTGCCATGGTTCTCTTCTTCTTACTGCACATCACTTCCTTCTACCTTATTCGACCTCCTTGCCTTTCTGTTACAGACATGTCCACCCAGGGGAGTAAGTACATTGATGATGAAATTAAAAACGCTGTCAAGGGTTTGAAAGAAATAAAGACCCTAATGGACCAAACAGATGATGAGCGCCAGACATTGCTCAACACCTTAGAGAAAGCCAAGAAGGAGAAAGAGGTAAGGAGGAGCCAGGTGACCACAGTCAAGTCTGGCACCTTGACCAGCCTTGCAGGAGGGAAGGGAGGGATAACCCATAATCTGTGGAGCTCCTTGCTGAGTTGCCATGATGACCTTCAGTCCACCTGTGAAGTAATAGAGAAGATTTATTAGTTTTGAAAGCTTACGAAAGTGGGTAAGATCCTGGGTCTGTTTTTTGTTTTGTTACAGATCTAATCTAGAGCCTGATGCCTAGATTTAATTCATTGTTTTGTGTTGTTTTTTTTAAATCTCTACTACGCCTCATGTTATCAGGAAGGATGATCAGTCTTGGTAGAGAAGGACATCATGCTTGGTAAAGTTAAGGATCATTAAAAAAGAGGAAGACCTGACAAAGTGGTTACAATAATGGACTCAAACATAAGAATGATTTGAGAATGGCACAGGACTGGGCAGTGTTTCATTCTGTTGTACATGTTGTTACTGTTAAGTGCCATTGAGTTGGTTCCGAACCAAAGTGATCCTGTATCGGATTTCTGAGGAGCAGCTGGTGAGCTTGAACTGCCGACCTCGAGGTTCAAACCCACTTTACAGTCTAGCGCACTAACCCACAGAGCCACACCAGGACTCCTTCTGTTGTACATAGGGATGGTATATATGGAGCCCTGGTAGTGTAGTGGGTTACGCACTGGGCTTCTAACTGAAACATCAGCAGTGTGAGTCCATGAGGCACTCCACAGGAGAAAGATAAGGTTTTCTGCTCCTGAAAAGATTTACAGCCTTAGAAATCCTATGCAGGGTGGCTATGAATTGGACTTGACTCCACGGCACACCACCACCACCATATTATATATATATATATATATTTAAGAAAGATGAGGCCATCTGCTCCTGTAAAGATTCAAAGCCTCGGAAATCCTATATAGGGTTGCTATGAGTCAGAACCAACTGGATGGCACACAACCACAAATATATATGTGGAGTCCTGGTGTGGTGCTGCAGGTTAATGCACAACACACACACACATACATATATATATGTGTATGTCTGTGTATATGTATTGTTACTGTTGTGAAGTACTGTCAAGTCAGTTCTGACTCATAGCAGTCCTATAAAGGATTTCCTAGGAGCGGCTGGTGAGTTTGAATTACCAACATTTGTGGTTCAAACAGACCTGCGGTCCAGTACTTATCCTATAGCTCCACACCTATATATATGTCACAACAGCTATATTAAAAATAGGAGCCCTAGTGTGGCACTGTGGGTTAATGCACTGGACTGCAAGGTCGGTTTGAACCTCAAGGTTGGCAGTTCAAGCTCAGTAGCTGCTCCTTGGAAACCTTATACAGCGTTGCTATCAGTTGGAACTGACTCAATGGCACTTAACAACAATGATATTCAAATTATGAACTTTAACAAGAAAAGTGCTTATTATAATATTTTAAATGTACTGCAAACATCCCTTGTAATGGTACAACTATCTACCTTTGTATGTGCTATACTTTGCTTAACTTGTACTCTACTTTTGAGATTCTGAATAAGTTCCAGTATTTGTTTGTCATAAACTAACAATATAAGAAATATCCTTAGGCATAAGCATTTTTTTCTTTATTGCATGGATTCTTATAGAATTATTGGGTCAAATGATACAGGCATGCTAAAGAGTTTTGATAGTGGCAGTGATTTTGGTTTTGAAAGCTTATCTATTTCCATTGTATGCCAGGGACCATGGAGGTACAATAGAAAAATTAGACTCCAGGAGTCTCTAGATGCTTTGGAAGATAACATTTAAAACCCAGAAGTTGAGAACAGAAAATTTGATGTGAGAGCTAGATTCTGGGGGTTAAGACTGTTTGTGCAATAAATCTGAGATAGGAGATGTCCATTTAGGCTGTAGCAGTTGGAAAAGACTTTAATGGACAGATGGGTCTTGGAGGGTGAGAGGATGTTTAGAGATAGGTGGGGAGGGAATTCCAGGTAGGCAGATGAAGGAAAATGTGAGCCGAAGCAGGGGTGAGGACCCGTTGGCCAGATAGGAGGAAGATCTGGCTGGGTGGCTTGGGAGTGGGAATGAGGTGGTTTCCAAGTGGCTGACCTGGTCTCTGTCGGCTTGTAGGATGCTGTAAAGGTGACCAGGAACACTGAAATGAAGCTGAAGGCGTCTCCAGAGGTGTGCAACGATACCATGACAGCCCTCTGGGAAGAGTGTAAACCCTGTCTGAAACAGACCTGCATGAAGTTCTACACTCGCATCTGCAGAAGTGGCTCTCCCGCAGTTGGCCACCAGGTGAAAGGGGAAATGCTTGTTGGGCACAGCCAACTCTCTGAGTGGGAAAGATGGCTTGCAGAGACAGGACTCTGCCCTTGAGTGGGTCACCTTTTAGTGTCCAGTCTTTATCACAGAGTAGTCCTGATGTGGCGCTATGGGTTAATGCATCAGACTGCAAAGCCGTTTGAACTACAAGGTCGGTGGTTCAGGCTCACCAGATGCTCCTTGAAAACCCTATACAGGATTGCTATGGGTTAGAATTGACTTGACAGTACTTAACAACAACAAGGGAAAAAATGCTTCCTCAGCTTTGACCACAGATCCAGGCCATTGTTGGAGGAAGCATCAGTCAGGAAGAGGGTAGACCACCTTTTATCTCATTAGAATTGTTGTTAAGTATCGTCGATTCCAGCCCATAGCAACCCTAAATAGGGTTTCGAAGGAGCAGCTGGTGAGTTTGAACTGCCAACCTTGCAGTTCAAACTGACCTGGAGATCGAGTGCTTATCCTTCAGCACCACATGAGGACTCCATTAGAGTAGTCCAGGATAGATACGCTTCATTTCATGTACTACATATTGATGAGAGCTGACTCTATCATTGATTGGTACTGTCTGCTATGAATGGATTGGTACAGTGGCAGCAGCAGTGGGCTCAAGAGTAATGATTGTGAGGATGGTGCAGGACTGGGCAGTGTTGCGTTCTGTTGTGCACAGGGTCATTGTGAGTTGGAACCAACTCAACAGCACCTACAAACAACACAACGGCTATGAATACAGAAACGTAGATGTACCCATGCCCACTATTTGCTCTTAGTAGATTCTTATCTGAAGTAATTGGCTAGATAATATAATTGTGTCCACATAAGAAGTAGTCCTGGTGTGGTGCTATAGGATAAAACACTGGACCGCAAGGTCAGCAGTTCAAACTCACCAGCTGCTCCTTGGAAACCCTATACAGAAGGGGTGAGGAACCTTTTTTTTGCCAAAATGTATAACATCATTTGTGGGGCATACACAATTATCAACTTAAAAATTAGCCTGCTATATTAGTTCAAACATTTGATTAACTCACCCTTAATGTGATAGATGGAACTGTGGTTGCCTTAGCAGACCAGACCAAATGATTTCACCTGCCTCATATGGCCTGAGAGCCAGACATTCCCTACCCCTGCTATATAGGGACACTGACTCAAGTCACTGACACTTAACAACAACAAGGCACAAGGAGGGACCTCACTGAGTTGAGACTCAGATGAATTTTGTCATTCCCTGAAGTCATATCAGTTGGTGCTCAGCCCAGCCTGGACACCAAAGATGACAGTGGTCTAATTGGAAGTGATAGGTCTCCTGTGTCTCGAGGCCTTGCAGGTGTCTCTAAGCTTTGTCCCAATGGAGAATGGAAGGACAATGATATTGACCTACTACTTTGGATACCTAGAGGCCATTCCCAGCTGACTCTTGGTTACTTGTTGTGACTATGAAGAGACAGTGGGGGGCCAGGTCTGGTCCGTCTCAACAAAAAGTTGACGCTGAGGACTGTGGCCTTAATGAGCCACTTCTAACTGTGGTCCATTTTGCCTCTTGCAGCTTGAGGAATTCCTAAACCAGGCCTCTCCCTTTTACATCTGGATGGATGGTGATCGTGTTGACACCTTGCTGGAGAATGACCAGGAGCAAAACCACATGCTGAATGCCATGGAGGACAGGTTTAGCCAGGTGTCCAGAGTGATGGACGAGCTATTCCAGAGCAGGTTCTTCAGGACCGATCCCTGGAAGCCTTTTTTCCACTCACCCTTCAGTGCATTCCATGACAGTCCTCTTCATAAGCCTCACTTCTTCTATCCCAAATCCCGTGTGGTCCGGAACACAATGCCTTTCTTCTATCATGAACCTCTGAACTTCCTGAACTTCTTCCAGTCCTTCTCTGACATGATACAGGACGTTCAACAGGCCATGAATGTCTCCCAGCAACCTCTGATGGGGGAATTTGCAACAGGTTTGAAAGATGTCTTTTTTTCATAGAAAGGAATGGGAACTAACCATTTACTGAGCACTGACCAGCCTCATGAGATGCTATAGCTATGCCAGGTGGCTTTGTGTGTGCTGTCTCAATATTCTCTAGCAACCCCCGGAGGATGGTATTACCCCCATTTTGGAAGGAGTGTACTAAGTCTGAAAGGTAAATGAATGTGCCCTAGTTTCACAGCTGATAAGTGGAATTCAGCCTTGGAACCTGATCTTTCCAGTCTACCATGTTCCTTCTTAGCAACTGCCAAGTATTCCATTGACTATTATGTCTCTTATTCCAGAGATCAACAAAGCTTTGTTGTGAGGCCATTCACATATTGGTGACAAATTAAGGAAAGTGTTCATGGCTGTAACTTCAGGGCTTGGCTACAAAATGGCTACTCAGTGAATATTTTTGAATGAATGGAATCTGAAGTGGCCAAAAGAGCCCCTGGGTGTGCTGCCAATGATTAAGTTGCTTGAATGTTAATCTAAAGGTTGGAGAGGTTCAAGTTCACCCACAAACCCCTTGGAAGGAAGATCTGGTGATCTAATGAAAATCAGCCATGGAAAACCCTACGTAGCTCAGTTCTACTCTGATACCCATGGGGTTGTCATGGATCAGAGGTGACTTGACAGCAACTGATTTAAAGTGGGAAAGCAAAGTAGATACTTCAAGTAGTGATGTTCTTTATTCAGTTGATAAATATGGTTTGATTGACCCCAGTTTGAATCGAAATGGATTGGAAATACAAAGGAGCCTTGAACTAAAAGGCTTCTGCTGTGTATTGATAATGGATGAGACCTGTAAGAAAGCTACAAGGAGGATCCCATTTCTGCTGTCAAGGGGCTTGCTGACAGGCTATTGTGAATCAGTTTTGACTCATAGTAACCTTGTACAGGATTTCCAAGGCTATAAATCTTTACAGGAGCAGAAAGCCTTATCTTAGCTGGTGGACTCAAACTGCCCACTATGTGGTTCACAGTCTATGGCTTAACTTACAAACCCACTATCCCCTGCTGACTGGCTGCTGTTGTTGTTGTTGTTAAGTGCCATCAAGTTGGTTCCAAACCATGGCGACCCTGCATAGGGTTTCTAGTGAGCAACTGGTGGGTGTGAACCACCAACCAGTGCATTATCCTGCAGCGCCACTGACTGACTAGGGGAGGAGAAATGAGCCATATAAAACGCAGAGCAAAGTATGTTATGATGCCAAAGAGAATATAAACATTAGGGGTGGATGGAGAGGTGGGAAGGGTGGTCACACCCAGCTGATGGAGCCATGTGAACATAGCCTGGAAGTGGGTAGACAAGGACCATATCCTGATCTGGACCTCCTCCTGGCCATTTAAGAGGGAACCCCTGGTCAGAGGGCCAGGTCTGCAAATTAACACCAAATTCTGGTCTGCTCTGATCACAGAACTTTCTGAAAGGGCCACATAGCCATGTGGAAGGTTTCGGAGAAATAGGTGTGACCCATTTCTGTTCTTCTGAATCATGACAGCATCTTCCCACTTTTGTCTCCAGAAAACAATGATACCGGCCTCGTGTGCAGGGAAATGCGCCGCAACTCTACAGGATGCCTGAAGATGAAGAACCAGTGTGAGAAATGCCGGGAGATCTTGTCAGTGGGTGAGTTGGGAGGCCTGACGGCAAGCTCCCTTAATTGTCATCTGTATCTTTGGGTCACCAGTTCTTTTCTGGGGCTGCCTTTAGACAGATGGCAGTTCAAATTCCAAGTCTACTGTCTTCTAGCTGTTGCATCACTCAGCCTTAGCCTCACTCGGTCATATTGCCTCATCTGTATAATAGGGTTGTTGTCCCTGCTGGCTCAGCTTCTTACAGAAAGGTTGGAAGGTCAAGTACACTCAAAGGTACCTTGGAAGAAAGGCCTGGCAATATATAGAAAAATCAGTCATTGAAAACCCTTTAGAGCTCAGTTCTTCTCTGACACACATGAGGCCATCATGAGTTGGAATCCACTTCATGGCAAATTTTTGTTTGTTTTTATAACGAGCTTAAAATACATTGAATTCAGAAATTTAAAAAATACATTGAATTCAGTAAAACAGCATGGGCAGTGCCTACCACACCATGTGGCACATGGTAAGCAAGCAATAATACTATTGTACTCTGGTAGCATAGTAGTTATGAATCGGGCTGCGAACCGCAAGTTCAGCAGTTCGAAACTACCAGCGGTTCTGCAGGAGAAAAATGAGGTTTTCTGCTCCCGTAAAGATTTACAGCCTCGGAAACCCGTACAGGGTCACTATGAGTTGGAACCGACTCCACGGCACACAGCCACCACCATATATCTATATTGTTGCTGCTGTTGTTAGGTGCCATAGAGTTGGTACCGACCCATAGCAACCTTATGCACAGCAGAACGAAACACTACCTGAGCCTGGGGCAACCTCACTACGGTTGTCATGCTTGAGTCCGTCAATGCTGCCACTTGGCCAATCCATCTCATTGGGGGTCTTCCTCTTTTTCTCTGACC